TGTTAAGGAAGTAGCCATGATTTACAAGGATAAAGTGTGGCTGTCGTTAAAAAAAGTACATAAATGATTTTTTTGATGCAACTCTAGTTATGCAGAATTCCGTATGTGCCTTACAAAATGAATTATAATACATAAAAATAAACTTATACAGGAAAATGCATACAGATATACAGTACGATTTAGATTGCAAAGATCAGAAAATACCAAAGAACTTGAAGCCCTTTGATTCTTTATAAATATACATGCTTATAGTAAGCTTCAGGATATTTACATCTGTGTTAAACAACAGTTAAAAGTCGTTACAAGCCCTAATTTAGAATAATATGGTTTTCTTCAGGCCGTTCACATATTAATTTACCGTGGCTGAAGGGTTTTCGGGCTCGCTTAGGAAGCGAGAGGTCTGGAGTTCAAATCCCAGTAAAGGTAACTCATTTTTTTAAATTGTTAAAGTCAAATAAACATTGGATTGAATATCAGTGTTGCAATTAGTCTTATAGCCAATTTACTACAATTAAAACGCTGGAAAGCATTGGTGGCACTAAACATATAATCTCACAACCTGCACCTTTCTTACATTCTGAGACCCAAACAAATTCAGCGCCTTCTGTGCTTTGATTTATATTCGTTGTACCTAAGACATTTTACTATCTACTCATGTCATTAGCAGAGACAAATAGTGATTGTGAACCGTGTCCCTACAGTCAGCCCTACGCCTCAATCACGAGACCGCGTTCCTCCGCTATCTGCAATCTGCCAGGCACAGCGATCTTCTTCTCCGATTGATGCAGGTTAGACAACGTATACATCATCACGTCTTTGTTCGAAGTAGTCAACACTTAATCCACTATCGCCTAAATACGGGCTTTAGATCCATGTCCTTCCTGACAACACAGATCTGCGGCTCGGTGCATATATGATGACCCTACAGTTGGGGTAATTTTCTTTTCCATGGGGGTTGTGTATAAAGTATTAGTTTTCACATATTTGCAAGTAATGGTCCAAATTGTTCAGGGAAATGAGTGTGAAAAAGTGGTATTCTTATTGTTAGGTAGGGGAATATTCTATTTTCATAGCAATTGGCAAATATCAATATTTGAGAACAATGGAAAACTGAAGACGATGTTTCCATAGTGGAACTGAAAATTCAATGTCTTTTGACTAATACTGAAAACAACAAAACTGGTTAAAAGTTAGTAAGTGCACAAGGCATTCTATATTACGGTAGTATATATTTTTCTCACTTTTACCAAAGTGAAAACTGCCATTATATAACTATTTATCTACAGTTTACTAATAAAGCTGCTGATCTTTCATCAGGTTATATCAGTCAGGTGTTCAGCTTAGATTTTCCTCCTTGTGCTTGCGAAATAAATAAGTCAACAAAGCGGTTCATAAAACAAACAAAAAGAAAAAAGCTTCTTTTTTTTTTTTGGGGGGGGGGGGGGGTGTAGCAAAGCAAGATGAAAAAAGCATAAACTTAGAAACAGTGAAATAGATCAACTCGAGCGTAGGCCACTACATGCATTATTTACATACTTACATCTAGTAGTTACAACCAAGTGAATTTTCTAGGTAAAAATTGTTATTCTTTACAGGCAAAGTATGCGATTAATCCAGAGTTCTGCAAACAATCTTTTTTTTGCCCTGTTTTTGGTCAAATTTATCCATTTTGATTTCAGGCAACGTGTTGGTAAAGTTGAATGAATAAGTTTACTAATAAAAGAAAAAGACAAGAAACAAATGCATTAGGAAAGCTGGCATGAATACACTTTGTTTGACACCGAAAGCAGCTGGTTGCTAAAGCAAACGTAAAGTAATTCTACAACCAAACTTAAGGAGAAATTTATGGACCCTTTACGCAAACAAAATTTCGAAAAAGGAACATCATTAGTTACAGAAGTGACTGAGATGTGTTATAATATAACTATAGCACTTTGTGAATAACATTGATGTAAAAAAAATGAACAAAGAAAACAAATAAAAATCATCTCAAGGAAATTCAATGACATAACCTAGATACAGTTTTGATTGTAGTATATCAACATCTTATTACCTGTAATTAACTGTTGTAATATGAAGGCAACAGTACACAGGTACAGTGACAGATTTGAGCAAAACCTAAACATGTGTATGCCTCTACAATGTACTTGAAAATAGCTTAACTTTGAAATTTTTTAGAAATATTATATAAAATGACTTTGAAAACAAATCAGAAATATAGGGTATTTTGAATCATTACAATTATATTTGCAAATCTAAGTATATTTTGTTAGTCACCAAGATTTCACATCTGATTTAATTAAAGAGTTAAATATTCAATTTAATATTATTATGTTAAATGATGTTCAATTGTTTAGCAAGAATTTCTATGTAATTTATTTTTCAAACAATTTCTGTTAGAGAAAACCAAAATTATTGTTGACTTCGTAGATACCATGATTTAATCTATAATAAAAATTGTAGAGAAATATACAAATTCTCATGAAAAAAGATCTATTATAAAATTAAACCGAGTTACGATAATCTAAATCATTTTAAAATTAAAATCACAAAATGTCTTTACAACAACTGAGATGAAAGATAAGGAAATTCTTAATGCTATAGTGTAAAAAAAAACATCAACTTTTACAAGTATTACATATCTTTCATTATAAATAAATAAAAATCTCTCAATAACTATATATTCGAGAAATTTATGGTGGTGTTTACACATTTTTCCAGACATTAAGCTTTACATGGCATTGTTTGTTGGGTTATTTAACAAATAAAAGGTTAATACATATGAAGTGTTAGCCAATTAAAGGGACTCAACTCCCGACTACAATTTGATCAAGTATAGGAGAAAATCAAATTTTTGGTCAGACAAGTTAAAAACTAATTAACCACAAACGATATTCGATATTACTAGCAAATTAAGATAACTGTTGCATCTCTGTATTGTAAAGATAACGCCTTTACAACTGTTTCGCTTAGATTGATCCACTGATTTTCAAATAATTATATAAGTCTTAAACACATATTCTAATGATTTGGGTCTGTTCCCTTTAATTTGACAGCTTATTTCAAGCCTTGTTCAGAAATGGTCAAATATGGACAATGATAATAAATAGATCCCATTGTTCTACTTAAATATGCACACATTCATAATCTCCGATTGTTATGAATACGTGTATATGAAATGCTATCAGTTATAATGAAAAGAGGCAAAAATTAGGTAACAATGATTTTGGCTAACACCAGCACATGTTCGCCAACACCAGTATACACATGGCTTTTACCAGCAGACATGATGCTAACACGCAACAGAATTGCTTAAACACAAGAGCAACATGATTTTGCTAATACCAGCAACATAATGCTACACTAGCAACATAATTGCTAACCACATGCCAACATCATGCTAACACTGCAACATAATGCTAACACTGCAACATGATGCTAACACTGCAAACATTGATGGCTTATGCCAGCAACATGATGCTTAAACCAGCAACATGATGCTTACATTACAAAACATGATTCAGACATCACTTACATCTTACTGGCCAATATATGCCAATTAAGTTTTTTGAATGACAGTTTACACAGTTTAAATGACTAAACTTCTATAATCATTCCTAACAATAAATAATGCAAATTATGATATTATGTTGGAGGCGAAAATATGAGAGATTGATTCGCATAGTGGTCCTAAAAAATAAAAAGAACCCTTTCCAAATATCTGACATATGTCACAAAATTTGCAAAACTTTTTCTTATACCAAAACAAATTCCTGTCACATTTGCCAGTAAATTTTGAGAAAAAGTTTGAAAACATGATCTAAGTATAAAAAAAGCTTTTGTAATATAGTAAAACACACTTTTGTTAAGCAAGACAAGACAATTGGCTTGAACAGGGCCTTATAAACATTTGTCCATTATGTTGTGAAAATCATGAAGATACATTACATTGAGTTTAACATCATTATTCCTTATAACATACATGAGAATAGTTTAACAATGAGCTTCATCTATTTATATATATAACATCACAATTACTAGACAATTACTGATAGCAGTTTACCATTCCAACCAACTTAAACATGTTTTCTAATTAATCAATTGATAGCATTACAATTTATCAAGTTCTATTTAAGAATAGTCAATTTAATTGGACTTGGGAAACACCAAAGACAGCACATTTAATAGTTACAGCCAAGACAGATTTTAACAATAAATATAACATGAAATAATGGCAGATCAGCAATTAAAAACGTTTTAGAAACAACCATTTACATATATATAAGTTCATATTCTAGTACAAAGATGTGTCCAAATATAACGTTACAGAAAAGATTTCTTCATAGGAACCAACAGTATCATTCTTTTATTTAGTCCATCATTTTCATTCTTTTTCTTTGTTTAATTTCAATATTTTATCCAGTTCATTATTAACAAATGACAAAATTATTAAACCCATTAATCAGCTCAAATAACAGTTTAAAACTGCTTTTTAGGACTATTTTTTATACTTGACTTTTTCTAAAATTTCTCAAAATTACTTGATCACATAATTTGTGCATTTATTATCAATGGTACAGTGTAATCATAAATTTTCATCTGTATAACTCAATTCTGATTATATTTAAAACACCTTAGCACATGTATACATTATCACCAGTAGGATCACAGATTTTATATATAATATAGAACACAAATAAAATGTGATTGGGGGGGGAGGTAATGCAACCATTCAACACGTTGATGATCAAAGGGAGGTAATAATGATCCAGGATTTGGCACCTACGTCATGTAATGGACCGAATAATGTTTAGATTTTCTTGAAATTTATTCTGAATTGATCAAATCAAAGCACCTTCATTATAGGTTTTAAATGCATACAATATTCATTAGTTAAGAAACAAATAAAGAGTTATTTGAAAATCAAAACAGAAAAAACTAAATTACATTCTTACTTCCCTTGGTTATTAACAGAGAAACACCAATAGTATGAAGTATTATTGCACAAATGTTAATTTTGTTAACAATTTCAACATTCACAAAAGACATTTAACAGAATTCATGTACTTGTCTAAACCAATGATTCAGTTTTAAGAACCCGATTAGTATCTGATTGCGGCAAGAAAGTTATTATTCTGGCATTAATTATGAATATATTAATAATTTACACCTTACGAATATCTCAAATAATATTTAGAGTGTAGGGTGCATCCCCCTGGACCATTCTCCACAATTGCCCCTCCTCTGTCTCACTATCCCCCTCCCCCTCACCTATCCCATAAACCTCCAGCACTTTACACGTCTCCGAATACTGACGACCCATAACGTCTTCAACTTCGGACCACAAATTGTCTACACGTTCAATTTCTTCAGGGTCGTCATCAAGTTTCTGGCCTAAATCATTTTTGTGTCTATGACAACCAGAATTATCTCTATAATTAGAATGATTTCCTACAGAGACATATTTGAAATCTGTATTATTAGATTTGCGTGTATTATTGACACTAGGGGAATGCTGGGATGCCCCTATAGCATCATGTTTGTCCATGCTGGATTCTGCGTGCTGATTGGATGAAAGATCTGCAGTTACCATGGATGCATTTACATCAGTTGTGTCTTCATGACAAGAGGTCTGTTTAGAAAAAGAAATACAAAAATTAGAAAATTTATTGATTTACAAATCAAGCTTGTTAAATTTACTCAAGTGTATACATACAGAATAGAACTTTTAAATAAACTTGCATAATAGCCAATGTAAAAGTTTTATTTCTACCAAAATTCTACTCTTAAAACTTTTGTCATTAAGCCTGAGAAGTATAAAACATATGCAGCCTGACTTGGACTTGAACCTTGAACACACCTGGCAAGACCATTACACAGCTCTGCAGACAGAGCTACCCTGCTCAGCTTGCACACTTCCTCCACATTAAGTGAACAGTTCCATACAGAGACATATTTCCCGACATGATTATAATTCGTCCTGATATTTCTAATGGATACAGAGCACAACATAAACAGTTCATCCAGCCTCTATTGTCAGTGTTTCCAAAATCAATATTTTGAATGTGTAATCAGACAGTTCCAAATTCATTACATTGAAATCCCTTCAATGTTGAATGGACTGTTCCAATTTCAAAGCAGGGCAGATTCATAACACAATTTTCAGCAGGTTAAGGGTTAATATGAGAGAATAGTTTGCTCACCTGTGACATCTTGTCTTCTTGTTGCATTCTCCTCAAACGCTACAATAGGTATACCAACTTGATGTGAGTTCACATCTCCGTCTTCACTCAGGTGCCCGTTATCAACACCATCTCCGTTGTTTAAATTCAACAAATCCTCACTATGATTTACAAAGCCCTCACCAAACTTTATAGGCTTTGAAGGGACACCTGTTAGGTCTATAATTTCCTCAAACTGTGTTGAGTCGGATATCGGAACAGTTTGAGACTCTGTGATGCTCACACCGAAAGATCCGTTACCAGTCTGGGGGCTCTCTAATGAATCCACTGTTCGAACACTAATACTGAAATATACAAAAAACAATGTTTTATAAGTCAATGGTATAGTGAATGAGATATCAGGTACAATAAGACCTACATGTAAGATACCCGTCTGTGTAATAAATTACATATACTACAGGCAGGCACCTCGGTAGAGCCATCAACTTTCTTCAAGCCAGCTGAACTGTATGATATAGCTGTCTCACTACCTCTATCTGAACTCTGACCCTAAGAGATAGCATGCACATGATTCACTGTCCTGTCAGCAAACCCTAAGCAGAACATTTTGTTGTTGTTTTTTAAGTCACAGCAACACTTTATAAAGTTGACTTTTAAGCTTTAGTAGTAGAAGACCTTTGGTGCTCCTCCATGCATTATTTCAAGCATAAGCAGGCACGCGAGTACAACCACTGATCTTTTATAAGCTAGCTGGATCTTTTCCTCACATGAAAGTATCTGATGCATCTGGCGGGATTTGAACCCACAGTAGATGGGTGCTAGTTGTTCCAAGTCACTTAACCACGCTATTGTTACTAACAAATACTGCCTACCCTGTTATCACCCTCTATCTTTGTATCACTTAATATCTGCCTACATTAATGTAATATTACCTTAAGTACAATACATTATATAAACAATACAAAGACTATCTGCCACAAGCTAATTTTGAGCACTTAGCATATACTTAATAATACTTTACTTTTGTAATAAATTTTACACCCCCCCCCCCCCCCCCTTCGTATCACTATCTTTTAAAACCTACTTCATCAATATATTTTTTTACAGTATAATGTAAATTTTATAATTTCACCTCTAGCATAATAGTATAACATATACCTTACACTATGATTAATTTGACACTCATTTAGTTTATTCTCTGTAGTATTAAAGAGAAACACATTAAGCTATATGAATGGTGTTGTTTTTTTTTTTCTTCTCCAGGGCTGATGACTTAAGTATAATAATGTCTTTCATTTTTGGCCTCAATTTTGTTCACGAGAATAAAGACTTGAAAATTAACGATAGCTATCAAACTGCAATAAAACACGCAAAACTATTGAAAAAACTGAAAACTTTATTCAGTAAATATACTAGAGTGTAAGTAAGGAATGAAATGTCCCATTTAGAAGTAATGTAAGGTGATCATTTTACAACAAGAATCTATTGAACTGAATAAGACCAATGTTTCCCCCATTCACTAGACCAAATCAGGTTGAAATCTACACAATACAGGATAGATTAATATACCCTCAACAAACCGATTTTTGACCAAATAAAACTACTGAAATTAGCTTCTGGTTCAAAACATTTGTTACAAAATTTCATTTAAGTATCTACATGTAAAATGTCTCCTTGACAGAAAAATTTGAGAAAATTATGTTCCTTCACTTATATGTATACACTGTTTATTCTCTATTACACCCCCACCCCCATCCTAGGAATTTTGGGGTTTGGGGGGGG